TATAATTAATAAATAGCGTTAGAACGAAAAAAAAAGGTTATATTTTGATTAAAAATTGACAATTAAAAAACATAATAATAGTCGTCATCATTGTTACTATGTACAATTAAAACATTTTAAATTTAAGCTCAGATCGTCTTAATTATCCATAGCGATAGATAAAAATTCAAAAGTCAAAGTAGTTGCTCGTAACTCTAAGCTACTGAATATGTTTTGCTATAACTCGTGCGAGACGCTTATCTTATTTTTAGCATTTCGATATTACTTTTATGATAAATAAATTTATTAATATATAAGTGACGCCAAGGGAAAATGGGAAAATGAGACATTGGTTTATCATTGATTATTTAAATAATCAATGATAAACCAATGTCCCATTTTCCCATTTTCCCTTGGCGTCACTCATATATAGATCGATCCAATGAATTCATACCGTTAAAATTTTTCTTGCACTGTCATTTCGCAAGAATAAGCCTGTTATCAAATGTGGCTTATTTGATTCTACATTTTGAGGCTGGATGTTCGTTATTTACATACCGATACGTTGGTGTTTTAATTAATAATGATTAAAAGTAGAAATAAACAACATATCCTTTCACACAATACTGCAATATACTGATGTAACATCAGAAAAGTAACTACTGAACTAATTACATTTATCTAAATCAGTATATTTTTTTGATCAGAGAACGAATAACGATAATCAAAAAAATTATTCTGTACCAATGTGATGTTATCATGCTATACGTATTGGTATTATAGTACGACGGTCATTGATCATAAATATAATACTATTCATGTTTTTTAAAATATAATATAAGTATGGATGACGTATGCATCGTGCAATATAACAAGCATGGATGACGAAATAAAAAGAAAGTGATTTAATACTCATGATCAATAGTGACCATGCTATAATGATAACGATAACGATTTAGATTACATATTATCATTTACCATGACTTCTTTTGACCAGGTTGAATATAAATCAAAATCAAGGAACGACCTTTTCGAAAAAAATTTTACTCATCTCGACCAAAGAACACAAGCTGAACAAATATATATAAAAGAGGAACCTGAAGAAATGCCTATTAAACAATTCAACGGTTCTTCAGACACAATATCATCAAACAATGTAATTCCCGAACTTAGGAAGTCCTCCTCTTCTATGATTTCGCTTTCGTCGTCTATTAGTATGGAACTACGAAAAAGCAACAGTGATCTTAGTAATGCCGATTTCTCGTGGTAATTTTTTAAAAAACGCTCACTTATATAGTAATAATTGATTATTGACGGTCCTAAATCACACCATACATCGTGATCTGAACTAGTCCAATATGCTTGGATATTATGAAAGAGGCATTTGTTGGACGTTGTGGCCATTCCTTTTGGTAAGTATTATATAATCTCACTCTTAAGTTATCATAATAAAAAACATCCTTTTAATACTGTAATCCAAATTCTATCCAGCTATTTATGTATCATCGGTCATCTCGACATAAAGAGCGATTGCCCAATGTGTGGTAGTCATTTAACTAAAGAGCAAATATACCCTAATTTTTCATGTTAGTTATCTTACGTTTATTGGACTTTCAGTTCCTAAAAGTGTATAATAAATCATTCAATACATATTTTATTTATATATTAGTGAATAAAATTCTAGAAATGGGATGTAAAGAAATTTCAACCCCTACTTCACCTGCAAAGCAATTAAAAGAAAAAATACTTAAAGATGACTTGAGTGTTGAAGGTTATTTTTCTTATTTATCATGAAACTCGTAGATATTCCTACTACTGTTCTTAATTATTATTATCGCAATTAGATATCAATACAATGGTAGTAACGCTTTTGGCTAAAAAAAAAAAATTCGAGTCAATGGAAAAGGAGGATGAATTAAACATTTTACATGATTTTTTATCAAGGGCGAAAGCAAAGAAACAAGAAGTAATAATAAATATAATTTAGCACTTGCATAATTGAAATTTATTATTTATAGTTAGCTTATTATCCTTAATTTTTATGTTTTATAAGCAACTTTCACAAATCTCTAAAGAAATTGAATACTTGAATGATGATTTGGTTACGACTCAACACGAAATTGATTGTTTCACTCAACGTCAAAAAAGCAACGGAGTTGAAGGTCAAATTTCAGAAGAATTCAACAATAATCATTCTAAAATTATATCATCTAGTGATGATAAAGAATCTGATTCTGTTGGCTATACGTTACAACCTAATGAGCGGCATCAAACAACGAAAAAAAGAAAACATACAGTATGCCATTTGATGTTTGTGAAATTTTATAAATAATGACGAAGCTTAGCATTTTTCTTCATAATTTATAGGAAGTAGATAGCTCTACCAAGGCAAATGCATCATATCTAAGAAGGTAGATATTTATAATTAAAGATAATAATATAGCTAAATTTTCTTATCAATCATAACTTTTAAAAATTAGTTGTAGTGGAACAACTTTGCAAAATTTCAAAGATACTCTCGATTTAAAGCTACAGAATAAGAAACAGAGAATGTTGAAATATATTGATGATTTGGAGCAATATTATTTTTCTAGTAGATTGAAAATCTGTGAGTACTTACCCATATTTATATATTATTATATATATATATGTATATATATAAAAGTATTCAACCGCTTGCTTTAATTAAATTTTTAGCAAATTCACACGAAAGTTTGTCGAATTTCACATCAGCACTCAATACATTTACAAGATATTCTAATTTTCGACTAATAAGCACATTTCGATATGGAGATATATTTAACACATCTTCAATTGTGTCCGCCATCGAATTTGATCGAGATGATGAATATTTTGCAACTGCTGGTGTAACTAAAAAGATCAAAATATTTGAATTTGGAAATATCGAGCGGAATGGTTACAGTGATGCTTTTGGAGGACATTCATCAAGTAGTATCAGAGATAGTATTAGAGACAGTATCAGTGGTCCAAGAAAAGTCATGGACTCTTTTCTTCAGTACCCAATAAAGGAGATGTCTTCTGATAGCAAAATAAGGTAAATTTAAATTAATCGGTAGATTATTTAAATGCTCATATCTGTACATCCTGTAAACTTGTTGCAAAATTCATTGTTTAAATAGCTGTTTATCTTGGAATAATTACGTCAAATCTCATATCGCTAGTGCAGATTATGATGGAATTGTTTCATTATGGGATGTTATTACTGGAAACCAGATTATGACTTTCGATGAACATGAAAAACGTACATGGAGTGTTGACTTTGGAAAAATGGAACCCACAAAACTAGCTAGTGGCAGTGATGATGCAAGAGGTTTGATAATTGTCATACTTAGTAAAATTCTCTTTTGTAACTATGTTATTGATGTTATTGAATATGAATATTAATCTTTTTCAGTTAAAATTTGGTCTACAACACAACAAAACTCCATATGTACGTTAGAAAGCCAAGCTAATGTATGCTGTGTAAAATTTAATCCTGAAATTCCACACTATGTGGCGTTTGGTAGCGCCGGTAAGTTTTTAATTAATAATAAAAAATGAAAAAAATCAACATGTACTCATTCACACTTGACAGATCACCATATACATTATTATGATCTTCGGTATAACCGCCAGCCCGTTTTCATTTATAAGGGACATCGTAAAGCTGTGTCTTATGTAAAATTTATGGGGCGAAATGAATTAATTTCGGCGTAAGAATTCTTTTAACATTATTCATTGAAAATTTAAACCACAGTCCGTCTTTTTTTACACTGTTTTCATAAATAGTTCAACTGATAGTACACTTAAACTTTGGGATATTGAGTCTCATACCTGTGTGCGAACATACGCTGGTCATGTAAATGAAAAGAATTTCGTTGGCTTAAGCGTCTCCTCGGATTGGATTGGCTGCGGTAGCGAAGATAATTGTATTTACGCTTATAACAAAACTTTATGTAAACCGATCATCAAATACAAATTTGGTAACATCAACGCTGTTACGGTCCGTTGACTTTTTTTTTTTTTCATCGTTTAAGTCAATAATATTCGCTATAGAGTTGTAATAACCATGTCTTCTTTTGAATGTAGGGTAAAGAGACTTTTAATGATGATCCTTCGCTTTTTGTTAGTTCCGTTTGCTGGAAAAAAAGTCCTAGCACTCTATTGGCTGCCAACAGCCAGGGAACTATTAAAGTATTGGAATTAGAATGAATAATTAATGAGAAGCCCAATAGACTTATACAATACAATCGTTTTTTAATGTCATTGCATATTAGTTATTAAGTTTTCATTTCATTTATCATTTGTTCATAAGAATATTGTAAATCATAGAGCTCTTTAAAGTCATTGACTTAAATAACATGAAGTACAGATGTATATAAATCATTTACAATTTGACTTTTGACTTGTTTCACGAACTTTTAGTGGCAAATATGAAGGATAGACTCGAATAATTGCAAAGATTGGACCCTTGAACACGAAAGTATCATTACTTATAACATTATAATTGTAGTGCTAAGTAGGGATGTCTTGGTCCTAAAAACCAGGTATAATAGGATTTTAGTTTAATATATGAGATTTTTTGCCATAAGATCATTTTCAGGACAAAGCCCATATATAAATTATTTGGACCACCAATATCAATTATCTTTTTTGAAGTCAAGTTAGTTTAATTTTTTTCTTTTTGATAGTAATAAAGCAAGTCTGAATTCGATTGAATTATATTAATCTATGTAATATATTTAGCTAATAACGGTATTCATTTACAAGATTAATGCGGTTCTAGCATTTAATATTGCCTTAATATTAAAGTCGTATCGGTAAAGCCATGATGGGTCCGAACCCAAATCTTCCTAAGCTCTTTAGAATTAGGTTAGTATTGATTTTAAATTTAAAAAATTTTTTTTACCAAATTCCACTAAACCCAAGTTTGAAATCCCAAACCAAGACAACTGATTCAGTCGAATTCGATAAGTTTTGATTTCGGCATAAGCGGCATAAGGATAGACACGCTAGTGAAATCAAGTTTCAATAATAATGGTAAATTCACTCGGAACTAAGTTCAATTAAGAAGATCCTGTGATTTGTATCGAGTGTCGAGTATCGAGTATGGTATATGATGGGTCTACTAAGATTGGAAGGAACGTAATTTGATTTGTAAGACGAAACTATTTTTATAAAATGCCGAAAGACGAATGCTAACGCCTTAAATTTTATATGTATCGTGGCTGTACCAGGAACTCAGGAATTAGCAAAACGAAGTATATAGGTTACTGATGAATTTGTAGCGCGGAACTAATTAAATTTAGTGGCGCCAATAAACCTTAAAATATGTATGCTACATGTTTTTTTAAACTATGATTTTATGACTTTGAGAAATTATTAAATACATCGATTAATAAATAACCTTTATTCTCACTCACTATATGAGTGTCGCCAAAAGAAAACCCGACAATTTAAATATAGTCTATATTTAAATTGTCGAGTTTTCTTTTGGCGACACTCATATTTACACGAATATAATATTAAGTAAAGATACATATTAAAGATTGAATAGCTTTATTATAAAATGCTCTATCATGTAATAGGTGAATTCCACCATGTTTTTATATCCATAATTAATTCAAGATTACTTGGATTAAATTTTCCTCGACCATAGAAACTTAAAATGAGATACATCGTATAAAGATACAGTAAATACAATAAACTTTAAACCTACTTTAAAATACATCGATTAAATATAAATGAAATAAAATCAAAAGGTATTTATAGATGCTATAGGGTGTACGTGAGTAAACGAGATAAATGAAATAAAGTTAAAATGTTTAACTGAAGCCGGCTCGGCTCTTTCTTAAACTTTTCGTTTCTCGGATTTCTTGTCCTCGATCAACTGCTTCATGAGCGTTAATTTTTCAGATAAATGATATCGAAAATAAGACGGATAGAAATAATTACGAAGAGGAAGACTACAAAATTGTCTTTTTTTAAATTTTTTCGAAACTTTTCGTAGCGGAGGCTTGTGCTACTTCTATAGCAAATGCTATTAAGTCACTTCTCGCATTCCTCTTATGCCAAATTTTTGTTAAAATTCGAGAAATGTACGTGTATTAGCAACTATTGGTAAAAAAAGTTTATTATTTGTCACTCGACCATACAATATATCAAAGCAATACATCAAACAAACCATCAAACAAATCACTATGGAATACACATATCGCTCGCTGCTCACGTGGTCTACAGCTCCTAGAATCGTCATTTGATATCCAACCTGTTCAGTTGGCCCGTCGAGCTAGCAGCAAAGACAAAAGAGGAAGAACCACTTTCCGACTCAATACTCTTAAATAGCCATTTACCATGGCCTCATACTTACCATCACTTATTCTATCAAACTCAACATTCATCACCCAATACATCATTGCTTAGTAATCACCCATTTCATCACCATCATCACTTACCCTCGCTCATCTGATGTCATGGGTCTGGGATCTGGGTCATGATCTCGTGACAAATGGATGCCTCGTGACTTCGTTCACGGCATCCATAACAATAATTGTCCTATGCTCAATGGGTTATAGGCAGAATGTCCGAGTGTATATGTTCTGGCTGTTAGATAGTTGAGTTTCTCATGCTATTTTTTTTTTTTTTTTTTTATATATTGCCAACGTAGAAACTTTATTATTTTTATTTTTAAAGGCTTTTCTCTAACATATATACAGTTTCTAATTACA